ATAGAGCCCTTCTTTTTATTACCGAGCGGTGTACCCTGGATGCACGCGCCGGGCTTTGTTCAGAGGACGCCTGGGCTGCTTCCAGTTTGGGGTGGCTGCGTACCTGCGATAAAGAACTGTGTGCCGCTTTCTGTGTGGACCTCGGGTTTTCTTTCTCGGGAGCAGTGGTTCTCCGCCAGGAACCACTTCTGCTCCCCAAGGGACATTCAGCGAGGTCTACAGACGTTTTTGGTGGCCACCGCTGGGGGTAGGGATGCTAACCCTCTTACAGTGCACGGGCAAGCCCCAGCAATGAGGGGCGCCGCGGACCCCAGTGACAAGGGGGCTGCCGTGCAGACTCCGCTCCGGGTGATCAGCTAGGTGTGGGGTTGCCGGCCCCTGTGGTGAACGGGCGTTTCACTTGATAGGAAGCTGCCGACGCTTCCCTTCTCCACGTGCTCAGTGTTCCGCAGCCACGGGTGGCCAGCGGTTCTGCGGTGGGCGGCACAGCTTTCGGGAGCACAAAGTTCAGTAAAAATATTTTAAGCCGGCCTCATTGTTTTTTTTTTTTGGATTCCTCAGATCCCCGCTGTATCCCCACTCCTACAAAAATAGTACGGTGTGCACGGCCATTTCTGCCTGTGTGTCGGACGGATCCTGCTCTGTTTGGCTGCTAGCGCGTAACAGTTTATAATCATTACCTCTTGGGAATGGCCTTTCTAGTCAAGAAACAATATCCAGGGTCCTGGCCAGGTCACCCAGCTGGTTGGAGTGTCGTCCCGATGTGCCAAGATTGTGGGTTCGATCCCCAGTCAGGGCACATGTACGACTCCATCAATGATTGCATAAATAAGTGGAATATCAAATTGATGTCTATCTCCCTCTCAAATCAATACATTTTTAAAAACTGAAAGACACGATATCCATAAGGATAAGTTTAAATAAATCAAAAAACGGATAGATTTCCTATAAAAATGGAGAAATATTTTTGTGTGACAAAGGATACCACGAACAGAGCGAGGAAGCAAGTATCTGCTCGATCAGCCCATCAGCCCGTCGCCAGCTCTTTGGGGTGTTAACTCGCTCATTTGTCACAACCCAGGCATGGGGGTTATGATTGTCCCCATTTTACAGATCAGCAACCAGAGGCACAGAGAGGTTAAGTAACTCGCTCACAGTCACAGAGCAAAGAAGCAGCAGAACTGAGATTCGCAGCCAGGCGGCCAGCCGCCCTTGCCCTTGTGTCTCGCCGCTGCGCTGCATCACCTCCTGCTACCATACTGCGGGAGAAAACATGTGAGACATATAAAAAATTTAGTATCCAGAATGTATAAAAAGCTGCCATCAATCAAGAAGACACATATAAACAACCCAAGAGAAAAAAGAGCGAAGGCTAGACCAGCAATTCACGGAGAGAGATGGGAGTGACCAATCAACACAGGAAAAAGTGCTCAATTTCCAACTCATGAGAGTAGGCACATTAAAACAAGACAGGATTTTTTCAAGCAACCGATTCGAGCCAAAATGGAAACGTCTGCTCCCAGGGCCACAGGCTGTGTGAAAACGACCCGCCGTCACTGCGTAGGCCTGTCAAACGCACCAATTTTAAGTGGCAGCTCGGCAAGACCCACCGCCACGGACAGCGCACTTCACCTTGGACCAGTGACTCCAAGGCCAGGCCCCTAGCCCCTGTCCTGTGGCAAAGGGCCCGCAGGAGCCTAGTGATGCGCACACAGACGGTCCAGCTGAGCCCCACGGCCAATGTTCAGGTCCAGCTGCACCGTCCTCCTGCACGCTGCGGGGGGGCGGTACTGAGCGCGGGGGCAGCGGGCCCCTCTCCGGGCCACCGGCGCACCTCCCTCCCCGCCTGAGTCCCCTGTGCTCATCCTTAAACTTGTTTGAGTCAGTGGTACTTGCTGTGCACTTAGGTCCTTTAATGATAACAACTAAAGAATTCTCGGTGCAAAGGGAGTTGTTTTCATGAAAACTGAGTAAAAGCTGTAAGAGTCCAGGAGAGGCAGGTTGCTAAAAACCAAAATCAACATCAAACTGCTGCTGAGTCACACAAGTGTAACACACAGAGGCATCATAAAGATCTATAAGGATTTTGTACTTAAGGATCTTCCGGCCCTGCCCAGTGTGGCTCAGTGACTTGAGCACCAGCCTGCAAACCGAAAAGTCACTGATTTGATTCCCAGTCAGGGCACATGCTTGGGTTGTGGGCCAGGTCCCCAGTAGGGGGTGCGCAAGAGGCAACCACACATGGATGTTTCTCTCCCTCTCTTTCTCCCTCCCTTCCTTTCTCTCTGAAAATATACAAATAGAATCTTAAAAAACACATACACACACACAAAACATAAAGAATCTTCGGAAGGGTCTAAGCTCCAGAATCAGACGGTGCCCTCTGTGTCAGGAGAGAAGACGCAGATACGGCTGGCCCTCCAAAGAGAACCCAGGAGCCAAGAAAGGGCCCATACGTCTGCATTGCTTGCAGGTTTAAAAAAAAAAAACAAAAACAAAAATGTAATAATGAATTGCTCATTTAATTTCAAAACATTTAAAAATGAAGTGGTACCTTTAACATTACAAAATGAGTCATTTAGTTGTCTAACCGATTGGAGAATGTCTGCCCTTCCATGAAGGATTTAAGCAGCTCGCCTTTGTCCCCCTCCGTGGCGTGTTCGCCGCGAACCCCGCCAGCTGTTGGCTTCCCTGCTTCCCCAGGTTCGCTCTCCTTTGCTGCGAGGGCCCTGCTTTCTCCATCTTTTAGCTTTGTTTATATCGTCGAAGGTTTATATCCTGTCTTAAGCTCTACTAGCATTTACTGCTAAGCTTTCCAAAGTATTTAAAACCTTCATTTCTCTAATTATCTAGGTAAAAAAATAAGTACCATATTTTGCTGTTTATAATGCACACCTACAGTTTTGGCCCAAACTTTCAGGAAAAAAAAAAATCTTTTGTTGTAATTTTTTAATGCAATTCTTAATTTATTTATATTTAGAAACAAAACTGATTATGATATTCCAGGATAGTGTTTTGCATACAGATATTGTCTTTGCTTTCTAGAGTGACACTTTTAACATATAAGCGTAAATAAAAGAATTAAAAATATTTATATACACACAGAATTAGTACCACCCATGTATAATGCTCATCCTTATTTTTCCTTCAAAAATTGGGACAAAAACATGTGCATTCTGCACGGCAAAATACGTTATTCCCCCCAACTGGCTTCTTTTCCTTGTTCTGAGGACTAAAAGGAAAAAAAAAAAAAACAAACCCAAAACAACCCCAGCCCCATGGTGGTAATATTGCATGGAAGAAGCTAAAAGCAAAATAGTGTTGTCGAATTCTTCTTCCATGAACGTCAGAGGCCCTGGCCGGTGGCTCAGGTGGCCGGAGTGCCACCCCGCGCACAAGGGTGGCAGGTTCGACCCCCGGGCAGGGCTGCGGGAAGCAACCCACCAATGTTTCTCTCTCACACCCATGTTTCCCTCTCTCCTTCCCTTCCTCTCTTTCTAAAATCAATAAAAACATAGTCTGAGGGAAGGAAGGAAGGGAGGGAGAGAAAAGAAAGTCAGAGTCAGGGATGGCGGCCCTGAGTGTGGCTGCAGGGACCCCTGGCCTCTCCGGAGGGAGGGGCGGCCACCGCAGGGGTTCCCCCCCCCCCCCCCGCCCCCGCGACCCGGCGCCTTCCATGGGGCCGCTTTCAAAGCCGCGGGCAGAGCCTGGCGGGTTCCTCTCTGTCCAGCTCTGCCCGCCTCTGCGGAGACGGGGAGCAGATCACTAGGCATCATTTACATCAGAAGTTTTGTATAAAACTCTCAATGCGGCCATTTATAAATCACTGCTCACAGCCCCCAAGATGTCAAAGTCGAAACCGATTTCTCCTGATTCTGATGGGCAGGATGCCGGTGAGCCGTGGGCGGCTCATCTCATTGGTTTTATCAAGCTTTCCCGGGGAGCAAATGCGGGGAGCACCCCGGGGTTAGTTAGACGACCCTGGTCGGGAAGCAGCCTCAGCTCTGGTCTCTAACTGCACCCGGTTGGTAGAGCGCCTTTTCAATAAACAAGAAGAGCAAATGTGTCTATGGAATCTGGCGCAGGGGTCAGTAATGGGGTTAAAGAAGGCCGACGATCGGTGTCCTGGCTCCGAGTAGCAACTGGTGCAAGGAGCAGGTGAGTGGGGCGGGAGCGGGGGGAGAGGACAGAGACGGTGGGATGTGGACTGAGTGAGCTGGAAAAGCCCTATCTCGTCATTTCCCCCTCTGCACCCACTTTTTAAATTTCACAGCGAGCACAGACCTGCACGTTCCCCATTTCTCTCGCCCCGTCTCCCTCCTTACTGTTGGTCATACTCTCATCTCCTATTCCCCAGATTTTCCCTCTGTGCCCAAATACTCTTTGGGCAACTAGCATGAATGCTGACATTTCTTAGCTACTCGTTACTGTTCCTGCCCATTTGTGATGGATTATCTCTGCCTAGTAGCCACGAACCAGCGGGCACCTCAGCGACGCCGGAGCCTTAACCGACGGACGGGCGAAGCCTGCCTGGACCACCCAGCGAGAGGGAAGACACGCAAGACCCAAGTCTCTGCACCAGGTCAAGGCGGGTGGGCATGCCCGGAGCCTCCAACTCACCCGAGGTTCAAGCAACGGCGCAATCAAGTTGTGGGACAAGAGGAGTGAGAAGCAAGCACTGACAGCAGGGGCTTCACAGCCACCGTTGCTCCGCACCACCTCGCGCGTCGGCGGTCACAGGCGCCAGGAGACACCCAACGAAAGCAGCGGGTTCTGGGGTGCAGACTTGCTGTCTAATGAAACCACTGTGCTGAGGACACTCAATGCTGGCGTTGAGCTGCCTTAGATGGTAATGAGATGTTTTGTGTAGCCTGTGAAATCAGTGAATTTTCCTGCCCACTCTGGATGGATGGACCTCTCAGTGATTCTCAGGGCGAACCTGCTGGGCTGCCTCCTGCCGCGGGGGTCACCCACCCCCGCGCCCACCCAGGTGCCGTTACCTCCTGCAGTTTGATCTCCTCCGGCTGGAGGATGTCCAGCACCCCGCTGCTCTGGATCTCCGGGAGATCCTGCCAGAGGTTGAACCTGGAGTGCGGGTTGCTGAGCAGGCAGATCTGCGGCAGAGCCTTCCTCTCGGGGGGGCTGTCGGGCTCCTCCTGCTCCTCCTCCTCCTCCTCCTCCTCCTCCGGGGTCTCCTCGCTGGCGTGGGGACCATGGTCATCGGCTTGTATTTCTGCGTCCTGTTGTCTTCTGGTTTCAATCTCCTGGAGAGTTGATTTATCTCGGTATTCCTGATACAGGAGCCCTGAAATTAAATAGAGTGGGAATGAAGAACAGGAAAGCATTTCTTATGAAGATCTTTTGGGATCACCAGGTCAGGGCTCTGCCTGCTCCCCAGGGCAAGCGCTCCAGGGAGACACGCAGGCCGCCCGACCTGCCAAGGGCTCTGCCCGGGGTCCACCGTCACGTCACGTCGCCGCTTCCTGGGGCGGCTCAGCCCGCCCAAGTTTTCTTCAGCGAAGAATCAAGAAATCCCTGGACTGATTTAAAATCCAATCACACAAATAAATATACACTCTCCCCGTACATACTTGGCAAACAGCAAGAACCTACAGCTTGATGTGTTAATAAGCAACGTGTGCAGAGTGGACGAGAACGTCCCCGTTAGCTTCGGCCTCCCAGCAGTGGGCTGGCATAGCCTAAGCGCTTCCGTATCAGAACGCCAGGATGTTCATTTGTGAGCGGGGAGTAGTTGTCAATTTTCCTTTTGAAAGAAAAACCAATATTTCACCAGCCTTAGGATTCAAAGGGGAAACATTCCCTTTTTGCTTTTACAGTTTCAGACTCACTTCCCAGACCAACTGTACTTGAAATAAATTCGTTTTCAGTCTCCAAGGAGATTTAACGGGCCAACGGATCATCACAGAGGTGGCGCTTCCTCCCCGGGACATCTTTTCACCCAGGAGCAGCGGGAAGCCTCTGTGGTAACGGGGGTCCCAGCCCGGGGAGAGGGGGAGGGGCTGGGGAGGGGCAGTGGGAATGTGAACCTGGGAGGGGGGGCACGGGCCCCAAGGGCCTTCTCTGCCGGCTGTGCCTTGGAGGCGGGTCTCTCCCCAACAGGCCTCAGGCAGGCAGCCCTGGTCTCCTCGTAGGAGGAAGAGGCTGTGGCGGTTCTCCTGGACCGCGGGGGCTGGCGGCGGCAGGCCAGCGCTGCAGGGGGCGTGGAGGGATGCAGCCGACGGGTGCTGGGGATCGGCTGATGCCTCTGGGTTGCGGCCGATACCCAGGTGACCAGCTTGGCAACAAGGTCGGTTGGCTGCATCCAAGGAGATGAGGACCCCAGGAGGAGGGTCTGACTGGAGAAAGGTGGTGGAGGGGCCCGGTGGGCAGCTGAGGGCCACGTGGGCGGAGAGGCCCGGTGGGTGGTGGGCGGTGGACGTACCAGCCTGGAGAGAGGCGGGGATACTGGATATGTCTGTGAAACAAAGCTGATTCTCCCAGGACGGTTCTGAGAGAGATAAAAGTGCCACTTGGATAGCTCTTTCTCTTAAAATGCGGGACAAACCTTGGCTATTGTTCCCTCTTATCTAATTGTTAAATATATATATATATATATATAAACAGTGGGGAAAAAAGGCAAGAAAGAAAAACTAACTTTGAAATCCTGCATGTGGTTGCATAGGCTGTATTTATAAACAGGAACCTAATAAATCCACCCTTTGGATTAAACCAGTTGGCTTCCCATGCTCCAAGACACTGAATTACAAAGCCTTCATGTAAAGTATAGAACTTACTTTAAAAAGTAAGATCGTGTGATTTTACAAGGTTACAATCCAGCAGAATACAACATGGACTTAATTTGACAAAGAAATGAAAACGAGAACCAAGTCTACACGAAATACAATGCAGGCTGAAGATCTATAAAGACAGAGGTTTAAAGCCGCTGCATGAGCTGGGCCAGTCGTGAGCATGAAACCTCTGTTGCTACTGGCATAAAACCAATTATTCTGTGACTCTGATCCTGGGTTTATGGAGATTTAAAGAAACCAGGTTTTCAAGGTGGACTTGGAGTTGCTTTTCAATACTTAGCACACAGTAGGTACATGCATATTTGTTGAACTGAACACCTTTTAAAAATGCTGCTTCCAAGCTTCACAGAAGTATCTAATCTGGCGTCTTTGTGAAGGTTCAAGGAACGTCTCATATACGCAACACTAGGCAAATCATGAGTAAACGCTATCTGCAATACCATATACTGAAAAAAAGACAAAAATATCAGCAGTGTGGGTAGCTGGATTGAAAATTACATTCCTGAAACCACACTGTGGCCAGACACTCCTCACTGCCCCTCCTCTATCCCCTTACACCCGTCCTTCCCAGCTGACAGGGGAGGCATTTGTTTGGGCACCGACTCATTCTGTGCTTAGGGATGCGAGTGAATGTCAACTGATCAAAACTTTCTGTGATAGTTCCCTCCTCCTTGTCAGTGGTGGGTTTAGACTTAAGCATGTAACACAACGGGGTTGAGGAAAGTAAAGGGATAGCTTCTTAAAAAGATGTTTTTCCCTAACAGACATGTGAAGACAGATTGCCCTTTTTTGCTTTTATACATGGTTGCTTGAGTATGTGATGTCTGGAGCTGTGGCAGCCATATTGTGACATGAAGCCCAAATGCTGAGAATAGTGAAGGAAAGGGAGCTGGGTGATTGCTTAGCTGAATTAACCAACTGCAGAACATCCTACCCCTGAACTCACTGACTGAGAGAATACTTCCATTGTTTTGTTTTGTCTTTAAAAGATTTTATTTATATATTCTTAGAGAGAAGAGAAGGGAGGAAGAGAGGGAGAAAAACATCAATGTGTGAGAGAAACATCAACAGATTGCCTCTCACACGCACCCCAACTGGGGACCAGCGTGCAACCCAGGCACGTGCCCTGCCTGGGAATTGAACCATTGACCTTTTGCGGGATGACACCCAACCAACTGAGCCACCCCAGTCAAGGCTCCTTCCATTGTTTAAGGACACTTTTTGTTTGCTAATCTGTTACCTTCAACCAAAGACTCCCAATACAATTTTAGAATTTTCTTAAAATGTCATATTTTTTGAAGTATTTAAAATACAAATTTAAACACCAATTTTCCGAGAGTTCCTGTGATCACACAGTTATGTGACACAGTGTGTACTCATTTTTCATAACCTGTGTATTTTTTATTAGTTTTAAAATTCATGTTACCCGAGGAACTAGGTTATCTGATTACATTACTGTACTTGATACACTATTAAAATATCATGTTTTCCTATTTTACATTTTGCACGTTCAGCAAGCACAACTTTGAATGAAAATTCGCTTGACCTACAAAATGCTGCACCCGGTATTACGTCCATGCGGAGTTAGACAACTTGGCTCTTGTCTCTCCAAACGGAAGTGAATAATATACCAGGCTGAGGGCACCGCCCTGTGAACGGGAGTCAGAGCCTCTGGGGTCATTCAAAATCTCACTTTCTAAGCAGAATCATTTTGTTCTTTGAAACTTTCACATAGAAATTTCTAAAGGACAGGGATCTAATTTATTTATTTATCTATCTATTTACTGTGGGCTGCACCTTCTATGTGCTAAGCATTTGCTGGGTGTCAGAGACAACAACAAAAATGCACGTTCGCATGTGCGCACACCCACGCACCCACGCGCATACACACTTGCAAGGTCCCGGGGCCCACCGCGTACGATGGGCCTGGCAAACCACACCATGCGTAATCCTGGCACAATTCTGCTCTGGCCTCTGTGGGAGCCACTGCAAAATACAATGCAGCAGTTATTCCACTTTCCTCCCCCGTCAGCTATGCTGTGTCTTTAGGAACCTGTCGTCCTTCCCTGATACCTGGCAAGGAATTCACTTCACTCACAGAGCTAAAAGCAGGCAGGGCTGTGCAGGGATCTGCTCAGCACCGGCCCCCGGTCTGTGATGAAGGATGTGAGAAGGAGGCAGCCACGGCTTGGGGCTGTCATTCAGCGCATCTGTTGAGCACCTACTACGGATCCAGCCCGGGAATCAGAAAGAGACAGTCACCCTCATACCAGCAGATACAGGCAGGGGCCTGAGTGTCAGTCCCTGCTCTCGAGAACACACAAGGAAGCTGAGGGCCAGGACGGGTCAGCACCAGAGCTCAGGGCTCTGGGCCCCCAGTTTCGGGCTTGTACTGGCTCAACAGGTCCGGCTGCCTCCGGGACAGAGGAGTCTTCCCATGCCCAGAAGGCTCCTGGGAGTCAGTGTCTGTCTGTCTGCCTGCCTGTCTCTCTCTTAGAGTCAGGGGAGGAATCACGGGGCTCCCCAGCCCCACCCCGACTTCCTTTTTAGAGCTTAGCCAAAGAGGCTCCCTTTCAAGAGGGTGGAAGTCTGCGCTTCCAGTGTTTGCCCAAGTAGAGGTGCCCCCCACCCCCGTACTGGGGAGGACAACGTGGCAGGGAGGTGGGAGAAAGGCCTTCCCGGGAGGCTGTTCTCGGATCAGCCCCTCTCCCTTCCCTCAGCAAACAAAGGCAAGAGCTGCCACCACCACCACCACCACCACCGGGCCAGCGCAGGGGGCCTGCTGGAAACAAAACTCCCGGAGTCAGCAGCTTCTCAGTGTGCACCGTGCGCTCCGCCCCCTCAGCTTGGCAAGGGCTCGGCTCCTCTCGGGGCTCACTTCGGAAAAACCCCCGCCAGGGCAGAGTGGGCCGCCCCCAAAGTCTCCCAAACGCAGGGGCTTGTGGGCAATGGATGCTCCATTCCCACTCCAGACGCTGTGTGTCTGTCTGAGCGTGTGACATGGAGGGCGATCGTGATGTTTCGGGAAGAAATTTTCCAAGCCCAGACTTTCAATGCAACAAATAGACCGTCTGCTGACGACACTGAAGAACAAAAAGATTCTCTAAGCAGCCGGTACCGTTTTCCGAATAACGGAACCCACACAGTGAGCCTGAGGTTGAGGTCATTAGCGATTTTTGACTTTTAAACCCAAGCGCCTGCGTGCGTGGATGCCTCCGCAATCCACTCTCTGCACTCACAGGGCTTCAGCTGCAGCTGAGCGGCGCACCCGGCTGCACCCCACACCTCCCACCTCCCGGCCTGCTGCTGCTGCTGCTGCTCCACAGGCAGCTGGAGCCCCACTTCCCTTCCCCGCCCACCCAGGGGCCCGGGAGGGGTCCAGCTTTCTCTCTACTTTACTTGGCCCCCCCCCCACCTCCCTGCCATTCAAAGGACGCCACTGTCTCCTGTTCCTGAATCACACCTCTGAGTCTGGCTCTGAAGCCCCCTTTTTCAGGTTCCCTCTCTCTCCAGGTCTTCCCCGGGCCCCTTCCTGGGGCTCCCTCCTGCGTGGCCTACCTAGCAGCACCTCACCCCTGGACCTCCTGGCAGACGGGACAAGGGGCGGGGAGGTTGACCCCTCCAGGGAGGGCAGGGCAGGGCAGGGCAGGGCAGAAGTGCATTTGCTAAAGCCCACTCGTGCCGCGCTGTTTTGATGCAGCACTTTTGGAATCGTTTAGAACCAAATATGTCCCAAAACATCCCTTAGCCACGTCACACACTTCTGCTCCCAGAAATGCAAGGGCATCTCACAAGCAGGGGGGCACTCGGAGTCCCCCAGGAGCCCACATGGGCCGCCGGAGCACCCACCTATTTGTTCGATGAGGTTCCTCCAGGAGTCGGTGGGAATGGGGCGGATCATCTGCAGGGCCTCGGTGAGCGTGGTGGGGCTGTCTGCCAGCGCCGGGCACTCCTCGGGCGTGGCCCCATTTCCCGGGGTGGAGGACGACTCGCTGCCAGAGAGAAGCAGGGACAGGGCCGGTTATTTTTAAGCAACGACACACACCTTGGCCAGCTGGAGAGAGGCGTGCGCACACGCGGCCCTGGCCAGCTGGACCCGCCCGGGACCGCCCGGCGGAGCGGCCGCAGAGGCCGCCGCCCCTCCCGGCCAGGCGGGCCCCACAGGCCCTTTCTGTCCCCGCACCAGGGCGCGACCGAGTGATTCATTCCCACAGCAGCCCGCCCAAACCTTCATGTTTTGGGAGCTCGCGGGCAGGCATCGGAAACTTGGCGCGCCCTTCCCGCTCCGCGGCGCCGCCCGGCCGCCTCGACGGGTCCCGCGGCCAGGAGCCCAGCCTGCGCGGCGTACCCCGTGCCGCCCGCCGTCACCTTGCCCCAGCACCTCTCGGGCTCGGGTCCTCCCGTCCCAGGGCCCTAAGGCGCGGAGACGGGGTTGCCGGGAGGGGCGCGCGCGCGCCCAAGGCGCTGTAGAGAGGGCGAGGGAGGCGCCCCGGCGCGGAGACCGGAGCGTTGGCGGCCCGGGCTGGAACTCAGACCCGATCCCAGGAGGGTGCCGGGACGACTGGGGTCGGGTGGAGTGAGGGGCGGCGGACCCGCCGGACGTAGGCCTCGGGGGTCGGCGCCTGTGGCGGGGGACGCGAGCTGGAGCCAAAGGCGCGCTGGGGCGGCGCGCGGGGTCCAGACGCCCGCTCGTCCTCACCTGCCGGGCAGGTGTCCCGCCACCGAGTCGCGCGCGTCGCTCTCCGAGGTGGAGCTGTCGTGGTCCACAGCGCAAGCGGCGCTGAAGGCTGCGGCCAGCAGCTCCATGGGGGCCGGCAGCCGGGCGGGCGTTGGGGACGAGTCGAGGGACGCTATCGGTGTCCGGAGCTGGGCGCCGGGCGACTAGCGGACTCCGGATCGGGGTCGCAGCGCGCGCGGCTCCAGCCGGAGCTGCCGCCGCCGCCACTGCTGCCGAGCGCCAGCGCAGGCGGGCGGGCGGGCGCGCGCCCGGAGGATCCCGGGGTTGCCACGGCAACGGGGGAGGCGGGAGGGGCGCTTGCGCTGGGCGGGGGCGAGGCCAGGCGGCCACCGGGCGGGGGAGCCGGGCTCGGGCGCGACCCGGGCCCCGGACGCCAACTGCCGCTGGGGACCTCCCTGGGGCTCCTACCTCACCCACTCCCCAGCCCCCGCGGGGACCGCGCCCCGCCCGGGGAGAGGGGGCGGGCAGGATGCGTGGGGGCCGGTGAGCTGCGCCCTCCATTCACCGCCCCCTCCTCGCCGCCTGGTTGGACCCCACCGGCTCGCGAGGCGAACTTGGAAAGTACGCGCAAGGTGACCCTGTGCCCTGCGCACCCTCGAACTTCCCCCTGGCCGGTGCTGCACCTCGTCTGCGGTCCCGCAGGGACCGGCTCGGAGAACCCTGCTCCTGCCCCTCCAGGCTCAGCCTCGGGGGAGCGCGCTCGTGCTGCATATACCTTTGTCTGGGGGAGTCCGAGGCGAAGATTGGGGTCTTAGAGACCCCTGCACACAGGCTTCTGGCCCTGACGAGGGAGAGGGGACGGCCTCCAGCCACCCGCAGGACTTGGAGTCCCGGGAGGGGCCTGGTGGGTGGAGGAGGAGAAACAAAGTGCCCCCAATCCTCCACCCGGTGTCCCTGCGCGGTCGCATTGACTCTTGGAATCTGCACCTTCGCGTTAGCTAGATGAATCCGCTTCTGGATACAAAAAGCAAGCAAAAACTGGCGTGTGAGTGATCCCGTGTGACGAGGGACTCTAGAGGGATTTTCACCCAGCAGGACAGCTGGCGCTCTCCCCGGTGTCCTTTCTGGGGCCGGCCGCCCGCTCCCTTCCAAGGGCACCGCGATGGCAGCCGCTCCGGGCCTGGGCCAGTGAGGACACTTGGGGACAGATCTCCAGTGCAGAGTGCACGTTCCACCCGCGGGGCAATTTGTTTAAATGAACAAATTGCTTGTATTTGCATGCAGATCCTCCTGGTGGGAGGGGTTCCGAGAGCCGTGAATAGCTGGCTTCTGGCTTTACTCTGTTCCTCAGTCAGATAGCTGTCGAGAACGCGCCAGTGATGGTAACTCGCTTCCCTCCGGGGACCAGAATGGACAGGTCCCAGCTCCCCTTGTCCTTAAGACCTCAGTATCTTCGTGACAACCATCTGGTCTTCTCTTTTCCCAAGACAATCCCCTCCCTCCCTTGGTTCTTTCCACGTATCTGCAGGCGGTCCTGAGTGTGCATTTCCATCTGCTCACTGACCATAGGCCCCCCCCCCACCCCCGCCCGTACCTCCTACACATCCCACCTCCTTCCTTGGCAGCACCCGCTCCTTGGCGTTTGGCCCTGTCCACACCCAGGCCATGCTCTCTCTGTCCCCTCTCTAAACTATGGGTCTGCCTTGGTCCCCACCCCCGCCCCAGCCCCGCTTAAAAACGTGCATTGCAGTGCCGTCACCTGAGGGGAAGGTAAGGGGCACACTCTTCGCCAGGTGTACCCGGTGGCCCATTCCTTGGCCGCTTCCTCGGGCCACTGTGCTCCGAGGCTTTGGTTTCCCACGGGGCTCTCTCTGCTAGGACGCTGCCCTCGCGGGTCACAGCGGACTTGGGAGTCCCTCCTCTTCCTTTCCTCTGTGTGACCAGCAGCGTTGCTGGTCACTGTAATTCTCTGTGAACGGGGCTGTCCTTACACCAGGCCACGGGCCCCTCCAGGGCGGGGGCAGGAGGGGCACCGTGATGTCCTACTGCTCTGTCACCAGGGCCCAGGGAGGGACAGTGTGTGGGCGGTCGCTGGGTCCTACTGGCTTCGCTGCCCCTTAAATCGGCTGCAAATTGTCCCTGAAGCCGTTACTCTCCCACTTTGCTGCATCAAGGGGAGAAGACTGATTTTTTTTGTTAATCAAAAAACAGTCAAGTGAAATTACATACAGGGGTAGGCAAAAGTAGGCTTACAGTTATTCATATGGAAAATAATCCAATAATTAATGAATAGTACCAGGATAAACTCTATGTTTTGCACAGTCACAACTCTTAGCCGGCTGTGAGCACTAAGGTGGGTATAATAAGACCTTCTTATTGAAAAATAAGTACAAATATCTTCCTAATTATAAAATCAGTTTAGAAAGTCACAGAGTTCTGAAGGCATATAAATGTCAGCTAAATTCCCCATGTTCTATTTTATATCCTACTTAGTGCTTACGAGGCTGGAAATTACCAACATCTCCACTTAACTGACATTTTCCTTGCAATATAGTTTATTCACAAAATGTAGATAAATTTTTCAAATATACCTGAATAGCACATGGTAGCTGATCTCTATTAATGGCATGTTTTTAAACATATTTAGGGCGAAGGAAAAGAGTCAACAGGCCAAAAGGGAGTCACTTTTGCCAAGCAATGTCACCAAAACAAAACTTAATAACTAACGCAATTGCAGTTTCAGATTTGCCCAGGGGTGGAATGTTAAACCAGTCGGTATTGAACGTCCTGCTCGGCTCTCGAGGGGTCATCTGCTTGGTAAGACCCCACCTTCCCTGGGGGAAGGTGTCCTTGTCTGAAATAATCCACGCCTTGACTTCTGCGTCCCACCCTCTTTCTGCCCCTAAAAATCCTTCCGTTTGGTACAGCTCCCAAGAACACACTTCTAGTTGCTGGATGAGCTGGTGCCTGATTCATGAATCACTTAATAAGCCAATTAGATCTTCAAATTTACTCAGTTGAGTTATGTTCTTGAACATTAGTGATTTAATCTATATTAGGCAAAGATTGGTTTTTTCCCCCCTTTGGGATTTAAATGGTAAATATTGGGGAAAAAGTGGATTCTTATTTATATGTTATATGTTGCCATGTATAATGCACAGTTTTTTGCCCAAATTTTTGAGGGAAAAATAAGGATGTGCATTATACATGGATAGTGCTAATTCCATATGTATATAAATGTTATTAATTCTTTTATTTATGCTTATGCATTAAAAGTGTAACTCTAGAAAGCAATAAGGATATCCATATGCAAAATAATACCCTGGTATATGATCATGGGTTTTGTTTCTAAATATAAATAAATAAATAGTTGAATTAAAAAATTAAAATGAAAGATTTTTTTCCCTGAAAATTTGGGTCAAAAACGTGGGTGTACATTACAGATGGCAACATACGGTGGCTACCTCAGCTTTCAGGAGTCTTTATTTATGCTTATAAAAGGTTACCTTATTCTGAGGGGAATTGCTAGAAGCAGAAAGAAGTTTAGAAAACATCTGGTTCAACATGTTTGTTTGACAGAAAAAGGAGCAGAACCAGAGGGTTAAAATGACAAGCTCAAGATCACACAGCTGCCTCATGGCAGATTTTAGAAGGATATGCTAGTAAGTCAAGACTACGTTCTGCGGGGTAAGGAACGGCACACTTCTATTTAATGATTCTAAATATTTTCAGAGTTACATGGTCTGCAAACAGACAAGCAAATGTTCAAATACATTTGTAGTCCTAAGTCTAATAGGGAGAATGACTTGGAATTTTTTTTTATAGCGAGGAGATCATCCTCAAATATATATTAGAACCATCTAGAAATAGGTGCTTGATAACTTTTGATTAACTGTATCTTTCAAAACTATAAACATAGTTTATTTTTGTCACTCTCAAAAGACTTTTTCAGTTGCTTTGAAAATCGACAAATGTAAACCACATAGGCAGCACCAGGAGTGAATTCATGGAAGGCTACAGCCTCAAGAGACAAATGGACCTGCGCCCCCCGCCCCAAAAAAAATCTAGGGAGGAAGTTACAAAAAGGCCTAGACATAGCCTCTCTTATCAACGCTCCAAGAAACCTGTATTTGACGGATGCAAAGATTTCGCCACAGGAGACATGTCAGAAGCAGGTGGTCCTACTGTGTGGTTGGTGGTGGTTTTTGGAGAGGTGGAGGTTGGGGTCTTCCCTTCGCTTTGATCACAGAGATAATCTGCGAATGTGGATTGTAACATGTTATGGAAATAAGAGCACAGTCAGCTTAGCCCTGT